TCTAACAGGTGTAAAAACATGGATACAAGGTTAATCTATGTGTACTCATACTGAAGTCTTTTGGAGAATAGGTTTCAAAATATGGAGAAAGTATTTGAAGAGGTTTTGATCATATTAGCCAAAATGAGCCTGGCTCAAACATAAGTTATAATTTACCTCACAGACTTTCTTAAGCCAAACTTTCTTTCAAAATCATATGGTTTAGGGGTCATAAACTAGCAAATATTTTAATAATTATCTTTACTGTTTGAATTACGTTATCGTTAAGTTGGTTCACTCAACTCTGAACACTGAATGAATATTCATGGACATCTATTACAGAGCAAGTATTGTACTAGGCTCAATGATTTTAAGTAGGGAATTCATAAAAGCAGTCCCTGCTGTTCCCCACATTGATTCATGAGAAAAACTTTTATAAAATTGATCTTTCCAAGATGAATCATATAGCTTTGTGAAAATATATTGCAGTTTATGATTACATTTTTTCCAGAATGTTAACATCAAATAAATAGACCCCAAGGAGTAAACAGAAAGAAAAATTTTAAAAGCTATAATTATAGGCATGTGATCAATTAGAACTAGGACTATGAATTCTCCACAGTTGTAAGGGTAATGGCAAAATTCCACATTGTAGTATAAGCTATGAGGTGATATACATCACATTATGTTCTCTCCTTTCTAAAAATGATATAAAATATTCCCCCATTGATAATCAGAGGATTAGAACAGGGATTTAAAGGGGGGGAGGTCATCAAACCTTTTATTGCTGTTTGTGAAGTCGAGTCTTAGAAAATTTTGTCTACAATAATATACTTACAGGCTTTTAAATTAGAAACATGGAGTTATCAATTGTAGTTCCCAATCAACCTAAATAAACAGTCATGAAGAAAGTGGATATAATTCTAGCCCAAACAAAAATTTCCATTTGAATTTTTGAAATAATGGAAATAACCCAGCCTTCACAGATCCTAGAAGTCTAGGATCCCAGTTTTGGAAGTCTATATCAGTCTTAACTAGGTTTTCAGGAGATATGAATTGGTGCCTCCTCCTCATGTAACAAGAGGTAATATTCTGTTTGTCGTCTTTAATGAGTCTTTAAAAATAATCCTGCCTGTTTCTAAGGGAAAAAAACAGTGTTCAAGACTCAGAAGATAAATGCTAGATTGAGGTGTACCCATTTGACTGTATCTCTGGTTCTTCCTTTTATCAGCTATAAAGTGCACTTTTTTTGCCTTTGTCTAATCAAAGATTTTAACTATCGTTCATTATTTTGAATCTGTTTTTACTCTTTTTTCCCTATGTTTCCCCACATTTTATATTCTTTCTTCTAAAAGGTACTTGCATAGTATAATTGTCTAATAAAAGGCAAATCTTTTAAGGAACAACATATACTAGTAAGAAGTGTTCCTTTAATTTTTAGTCTATCAGTGAACAGCTCTTTATAACAGAATCTCACCTACGAGTTATCTTAAAGCATGGTACAAAATGCTTATGCAGCATGTTATAAAACAGTTCTGTTGAAGACATTTGGATCTTTGGATGTGTGGTTTGCTTAAAGTACCCTGCTGTAGTAAGCTTGCAGCTTGTTTCTTCATGCTTTCTTTAAAAACATCAAAAGTTGTAAAAGGTTTATTTCAGTGCATGTGGTAGTGTTTTGTGTGTAGCTCTTTGTTCCTGTTCTAAACTGGTATTAACCACTGAAGTGAACCTTCTCCTGGGTTTGGCCTTTGGCATTCACAGTGTATTCAAAACCTAATTACAGATTAGTCTATATTTGAGACTTTTAGAGCAAGTATCAGAAGACTCAAAAAGAAAATGAGAGTAGCAGTATCATTTCATGTGGAGATAAAGAGACCCAAAACGTGAATGGGTGTCAAGTCATCTAAAGAGAAGAAAAAAGAAGGAACTTCATTCACTGAGACTGGCGGTTTATGAGTCGGGGATTATGGGAATATTCATGACTCAATCAAGAAGCACAATGAATTGATGTTTGAAATAGCTCATCTTTTAAGTAAACATTGGGTAAAATGGAAGGTAGACTCCATATTCACTTCATTTAGAATTGTGTAACAGAAATAGTAGTTTGTTAATCCCTTCCTGAGTTGGTTTCATTTATCAAATCACAAATTCTATCAGAATTCTGTAATTATAAAATTTTAATAGAAAAGGGAGTTTGCTTTATAAACACTTGATCTGATTTATATTCATATTCCTGATTTTAACTGAAATATATCTTATTTCACATTAAAGGTAGTATTTGTAACAAATAGACTTAAAATAATAGTATTTGCTTTATTACTATTGATATTCAGTTTATGATACTGAATCATACTACATTTGAATTATAGAAACACAGACAGAGCTAACTCTTCAAACTTTAATATCCACATCTTTAGTAGTTACACCTACAGGATTGAATGAGGACCAAATGAAATTTCTTTTTCTTTTTGCCCTAAGGATTGAACCAAGACACTTTACCACTAAGCTACAACCTCAGTCTTTTTTTTTTTTAATTATTTTAAATATTGAAACAGTCTCCCTAAGTTTTGTGGGTCTCACTAAATTTTGCTGAGGCTGATCTCAAACTTGTGATCCTCCTGCCTCAGCCTCCCAGGTCACTACAATTATAAGTGTGTGCCACCACTTGCAACTGAAATGTCACATTTGAAATTACCACAGACATAGTAGATACTTCATAGATTTTGAGTGAAAGAGTAACCAAGGAATGCTTCCCAAAGAAAGGCTATCTTCGTGTACCGTAAGTGCATTGGGCAGGTGAAAAAATGACAAATAAGTGATTTTTTTTTTTTAGTTAGCATTAAAAGAATACATCTGTGGCAATTGATATTTTTTTCTTGTAAGCTTCTCCTCTGTTCATGACACCCATCCCAATTGCTCCCCACTTAAATTCCCTTTGTGTCATTCTTGAGGTTTCAGGCATGGTGGTACCGTGTTCTGATAGTCTAATTATAAATTTTTTTAATAAAAGCATAACTTCTTACGGGAAATTTGATAGGTTGTTTTTTTTTTTAATTCTATGGTTTTCATGTTAAATAGTTCTTTTAAGTGATACCACTGTACCTCATGCCTACAGATATTTTGTCCAGCTGAGGGTAGAAGTCATTAATAGGGTAAAAGGCTAGCTGCCTGGTTGCTCTCAAATCATGTTATCAAATCTCTTTATAAGGTACGGTATGCCCAAGTAGAAGTATTTATCATGGAAGCATTCAGAGATACTACTGAGCCTCTAAATGCCTCTGAGGTTTCTGTATGTTGTGCTATTCAAGTTTTTAAAGACTGTCCATTTCCAGAATTCTGTGAGACAGTTTAGAAAACTTTATCCTTCTCCTGTACACCCTTTTAAAAAAATCCTTTAACTGATAAATTGTACTTTTGGGAAATGTTTCTACTCATTGCAAAAAACAGACTTGACTGTTTCTAAGCAACTAGACGGAATAATTTTAAAAACTAACAATGTAGCCTTATTTTGGGGAGGTACGTATGTTTACTAGTTTGACTGCTATTAAGAAATGAAAACCAGACTATGAAAATATATGGACTAAACTAAGACATAGGTTGGGATTATTTTTCTCTACAGTCCTCTAGTTTAATCTTGTCTATAAGGAAGTAACATCACCATTGTGATAACTATTATCATATATGCTCAACAAATACTTTGATTAAAACAGGAGACCCTTCTTCCCCCTTGGTTTTATATTAATCTTAATTTAATCAAAAGTTAGAAATACTAAATTGCCAGAAAAAGATTGTGATATTACGGTCTTAATACACAGCCATAGAATGCTTTGTTGATTGCATGCGATGCTAAGAATCTACAAAAAAGAACAGTTCTTTCTTTTATTGGGTACTCATCACTAATACCCCTTGCTGTTAAAAAAGTCACTTGTATCTTTAATTGCAGATTATTTTCTTTCAAATATAAATGCTGAATATGAACTGTATCGTCTATGATTTTTCTGTGGAAACAAGTAGAATGCTTGCCAGTTTTACCTGTAGATCATTAGCTTTGAACCAGTCAGCTCACTTTATCTGATAATTTCCATAATATGTTAAATTATATTACAAAACTGTTTGTAATCATGCTTAGTGTAAACCATAATATAGGAGATGGAGGATTAATTTGTCAGTAATATGAATCATGACTTTTCCACTTTCAGTAAGAGATCATTATATACTGCAGATTGTTCACCTTTGTAGAGAAAAATGTACATTTCCAAGATTTTATTTGGAAGTCTATAAACCTGAAAAACTTATATCAAGTAAATACTGTAAATCTGCCTTTACTAGCTCCGGTGTTTTTAAACTTTTTTCATTTACAACTGGAAAAGTACTTTTTTGTGTGTATTTTTAAAGTGTTATCACCTTTCTCTGTATGTTGTGAATATTTCCCACTGTTTTCTTTGCCTTTTAATCTTGTGATATTTAGAAGTGAAAGCATACATTTCTATGTGATCAGAATGGTTGATCTTTCCTTTGTTATTTCTCCTATTTATACTTAAACAGTCATTTCCTAGTCTAATAACAGTTAGAAATCCATCTGTATTTTCATTTTTTAAAAATATATTTTTTGGTTCCTTTTTGGTCCCCCCCCCTTTTTTTCAGTTTTTAAAAATGGTCTTGCTAAATTTTTTTGTTTTAGATTTGCTGAGTCCTTGCTTGGGCTTCAAAGAATCTGAGAACTTACTAAAATTATATACAGAATGGTACATCTATTCTATACATGCATTCTCTGTAAGAATCTCTAACTTTTAATAGATTCCAAAGCACACACATCTTGTCCTCCCTCTTTCAAAAAACATTATGTAGACCTCAGATGGTATGGTAGTGGGGCCCTAACTTTTTTCCTTATTCTTCAGATAGTTAAGTAAGTATATTAGACCTTTTAGTAAGTGATTATCTCCTGTGGTTTGCAATGCCTTTAAAAAATAAATTTGTTTTTATTTAGCTAACTCATTCATTATCTCTTTTTATCTCCATAGAGAAAGTTAGAGAAATTCAAGAAAAACTTGACGCTTTCATTGAAGCTCTTCATCAGGAGAAGTAAAATGTATTAAGTGAGTAAAGAGTCTGCTGCTGCTTTGGTACCAAGTAGAAAATTTGTATTCTAAATTTTTATTAGCAGTTTACTACTCTGCTTGACTATATCCTGATTGTTCCTTACAATGTAATAACTTTAATGTATGAATCTGAGAAATAGCTTCTGAATTTCATGTATATAATGTTCCTTTAAAAAACTTGATTGCTGTCTGGCTGAACCAAAAATATCCTCTAGCATTCATTATAGGCAGAACAAAGGTGAATGTAAAGAGCTAAGATATTTATAATCTGCAGATCACTCCTCATCTGCATGTTAAAAACTGACCTGTGTTATTGTTTTATCCCTTGTTCATAATTATTGGATAATTATGTATATGTTAAATATTCAACTTGTAAAATTTCCTATTTGGCTTGTCTATAGTAATTTTAATAATTGTTTTAATCTTTTTCTCTTTTGTTTAAAAGCATTTAGATAAACCTTTTTCTGTTTAACTTACACAGCCTTAGAATTTATTACTGATCTTGATATACTGACACTTGTCTGATTCTGTGAAGTCTGGCATTCTAAGCATGTTTCTAATAAAATATATGTTTAAGGATTTCCCTTAGTAGCATTATAATCAGTAATTGTTTGCTTTTACTGAAGAATTTGAAGGGGAAAAAATGCTATGGTTAAGCCATTATCATTTATTGTAAAATTTCCATTCCTTATCTGTGAGCTGGGTACAAGCAGCCTGCATGTGATAGGGTGGGAACTGGAAGGAGTAGAAATGTAAAGTTACTTCCCTGGCTGTGCCCAGTTCAGTCTAAGCAAAACTACCACCTCTTCTCTACTATAGGGAATATATTTTTGAGAAAACAAACTAAAAAGAGAAGTACTGCTCAGATCATACATCATTCATAACAGTACTCCAGCAATAAATGAGAAAGGAAGGAGTTAAACACATTCCAAGGAAAGCTTTGTTGCTTTGTTTTGCTTATTTCTTTAAAGAACAGATATATGGAAGTATACAAAAATGCAGAATTATCTTTAACACAAGCCAAATATAACTTTGGTGCTTTTAAAGGTGTTTATTTACATTTATAAATTTTTCTACATCTTCCATGTGTAAAAAGTTATTTAAAAACCATAAAATGTTCCAATATCATTCTGGTTATGATAATTAGTATGACTAGATAGGATTAGCAATGAACATTTTTAGTGCTTCATGATCTGGATCTTCTCCTTTTTTGGCACCAGTGTTCACATGATATTTTCATTTATAGATATGGCCTTTGGGGGAAATAATTTATGAAAACCCTCAGAAACCAAATCCATTAAAACTACAAGCTACATTTCTGGGTTTTGTAATTAACTGAGGAAATTCAAAGCCAGCCAGTGTTATTTGTTTGTTTGTTTATTTTGGGGGGTACCAGTGTACCCAGGGGCATGGACATTTGGCTACTGAGCCACATCCCTAGCCCTATTTTTTATTTTATTGAGAGACAGGGTCTCACTGAGTTGCTTAGCACATCACCAATGCTGAGGCTGGTTTTGAACTCGTGATCCTCCTGTCTCAGCTTTCCAATTAGCCAGTGTTTTATATAATAGAGTCTGCCCTCTAATGTTGTCAGTGTGATATCTAGAATTGCCATTGCTGCTAGAGATATTCCTCTTCTCTGCCAGAGTGTCTCAGGAACAGTATAGTACAATCCTAAAAAGCAGGTTGTGATGATACTGGTGCATGGAGAGACCTTGCACATAGGAAAACCATCCCAATTTTTCTTGTTTCCTACATGCCTGGAGTCTCTAAGACCCTTCGCAATCCTTGTGATTTATGACTCTAAACTCTTGCAAAATATCTATGAATTGGACACATGATCTATTTTTTACCTTAAAGATCCATTTAAAACAATAAATCTGGCAGAGTGGTAACCTTTCTTCATTCCAATCATTTTAGAAAAGTTACCAAGCATTGGGAGAACTAATTGCTCAATTATAGTTTTAATGTATGTGGAGTTCCTTAGCCTTCATTTTGCTTTTTAAAAAAATAGTTTGAAGTAATTATAATTCTAATATTTACTGAGGATGTTTATACCCAACACAACTGTACAGTCTTCTCTACTAGTTACATTTTAAACTTTTCTCTAAAAAGAAATGAATTCTAATATATTTTCATTCAGACATCATACTTGATAAAATTATGCTAATGTTTTATGGTAGATGATATTCTAAAAATTTCAATAAAACTTGCAAACTTAGTGAAACTTCAATTTTTTTGTGATCATGCAGTAATAAAGTTTGTTTAGAAGTTTTGCATTTGTCTCCCTAGACCTAAATTTATCAAATGGGTTTATTTTTACAGAATTCTACTCACAATGTAATCGCCTCTACGTACGTCTAGAGAAAGAAAACTTCAAAGTCTTTTGTCCTGCCTCTTTTTCTTCTGCTATTCCACCTTTCTACCCATACAATAAAGTCATAGGATACAAATAATTTATGTGCGTTACAGGCACTTTTACCATCAGCTGCCTTGAATGAAAAAACAGTGGAAATGGCATTGACATCCTATTCAGTTGTTCTGGAGTGACAAATTGGGATTATAAGATTGGTGTTGCCATTAGGTAAACTCCTTGAAGATAAGAAACTTGCTCTCTGCTGTTGTCTTATTTGTGGTGGCACTAAATTTATTAACATATGTTACTCACTGTCAAGTTTCTTTTCCAGGAATGTAATGCTAGTTGTTTTGGAATAAAACATAGCAATTTTTAAGAAGTTATCAATTGTATATAAAATGATGGTAGCCTGCTAAGTCATTGTCTGTATCTTTAATGTTCTATATCCAGGAACTATTTGAGCGTGATAATTCAATTTATATTCACCACATGAAAGAAAACTGGGTAACAGAAGAATCCCTTGGATAAGTTAATTTGGATTATAATAATTCAGTGTATATTCATTGAAAGGAACCTCAACTCTTCATTGCTAGACAAGAAGTTAGCCTTGGAAGTTGTCAGTAGCAGCTTACCTTCAGTTGCTATTTTTACACTCCCTATATCCATTTGAAATTAATTCATTTTGAATATTGTATATTTAAGTTAGACTTCCTGTTAACAGTGGTTTCTTTTTCCTATTGACAGAGCCATTGGATTATGACAAATGATGAAAAAGATGAAGAATAATCAATTGACTAATTTTATTTAGAATATTGTCAAACATTTGAACTAGGAATCAGGAAAAGACTTTCTTTCATATGAGTTTTTTCTTTTTTTTCTCTCAGTACTGGGGATCAAACCCATGGCGTTGCATGTACCAAGCAAATGCTATACTCTTAGCTACACTCCCAGGGCCTCCATATACTATTTTTAAAACTTTCAACAATTAGAATGATGTTGACCATTCCCTCTCTCAGCTGAAAATTTAAAGAAAATTTTAAAGTTTAATTCTTTGCAGTTCAGTTATAATAATACCCTCACAACATTTTCTTGTGTTTTGTGTAATTTTTATTGGTTAAAGGGCTTTAAAGCAAATATGCCATTTTTTTTTACTTAAAATGTCTTTCTCATTTGCTACCTTTTTAAGTCTTTATTATGCTAATAAAAATGCCCATTGTATAACAGTTTTTATTCTATAGTTTTATGTTTTCTTGGAATTGTTATAATTCCCTTGTTGATAACAATTTCTTTGCCCAATTCCCACTTTTTCTTTTTAATCAGGAAAAAATGATAACCCCTCAAGATATGACACCTCATATACAGAGTTGGAGAATATCACAAAATATTTCAGAAACTAGAAATTCCGTGAATATTTGCTTTACACTGTTTGATAAGAAAAGTAGATCCAATTTTTAGCAGCTAACAGCAGTATACATATTGTTATTTTGCAGATGAGTAGTCAAAAAAACATTTTGTGTTTTTTGGGGGGTCTATGGACAGTGGTCAGCAGAAAGGGAGTGAACTTTGTGATGTTCTATACAAGGATTAGGAGATGGCTTCACTGCTTGAACACTCTAGCTAGCCTCTACCTCTACTACTACCTATAGCTACAATAGGTAGGTAACCCCTCACTGAAGCAGACATCTTGCAATGGTAATATTCATGAAGTTGTAAAACACTCCTTACAACTACACACCTATTTCTTTAAAAAGAAAGAAAGAAATAGGACCATATTTGTTACTGTGAACTTTAGAGGGGGAAAAAAAATGCCCTCGTGTTAGGCAGTAATTTTTATCACTTCCATGTGTATAAATTTTAAAAATGGTGGTGGGGACAAAGAGACGGCTTCTTTGAGGAGAGCAATATTATAACTTAAATATGTTAAGTAGATCATAAAAACTTATTATCAACAGTCCCATATGAATACTGACATTCTTCCTATCTGTCCCCTTCATTAAAATTGACTTCTTTCATGGTTTTTTCTTTTCTTTTTTATTTTAGCTGATCTCACACTAAATATGCTTCCCCCGCCCTCAAAAAACAGGTATTTATTAAATGCAGATGCTGTGAAGAGAAAAAAATAAAATTCAGTCTTAACAGTAAATCTTGTGTGTTGTGTCTATAGTTCAAAAATTAAAAATGATTGAAATTCAAGGTAAAAAAATAATTTCAGATATTCAATATGCAGAAGTGAAGACAAATAGGACAAGAAATCATTTGTTTGATGTCAGGATTTTCAAAAAATGGGGAGAATACAGCTTTGTATGGAGGCTGAAGAATTTTGAACAGATGATAGCCAAAATTAGTTGGACAGGGTGTTAATCAGTGTGTATAGGTGAAGCAAGTGGTGCAGCTCTTGCTCTTCACTGTCAAATTGACTGTGGCCATAGTCACAGGCAGAGCAGTCAGCCTATCTTGTCATTTAATTAAATTCTCTTTGTGTTACCCTGCTTTCCAGGCTTTATTCAGAAGGACTCCTTCACATAAATTATTTAGTGACCAAATGTGAACCAATAATGTAAAAGTGAGTAGGAAATATTGTGGAGAGTTTTGCTTCCTAATGTTACAATTTGGGAATTTCATATACAAGATTCAGTGTATGAGTTTTAAAGATGAATTCCTTAGCTAGTTAATAATTTTGTATGTATTTATTTTAGATATATTTACCTGAAAAAACAAACTTGGTGTTTTCTCTTCAATAAATGGGATCATAGTAATGGTCTTTATCTCAATTTTCAAGTCTGATATGTATTTTACTTTCAGATATATTAGCATTATGGAAATATGCTTTAAAATGTGTTCACCTTTTGAATGATCATGGCGATGTGTTATTTAAATATTTAAAGCTTGTTTTTCACTTGTGCACTGTGAATGAACTTTGTATTATTTTTTAAAAACCTCATACTACATGTGTAGATGTTATTGCAACTTATATTTTGCCTGTGCTTGATCTAAGGTCATTTGTGTAGATAAGTAATTAAAAGATAATTAAATCACATTATAATTTTATTATTGAAGAGCATCTTTTTAAAAATTTTCTTTGTTTCTAATGAGGAACCCTATAGTGTAACCAAATTCATGGTCTAACAAATGTAGCTGAATTCCACATACTTTATACGAAAGCTTAAATTCCACATACTTGACACTGCACAGTTATAATATTACCATTTTCAACTGGTGAAGTTTTTTTTTTCCATATCTCAATACTTGTCAAAGCATTTTGGTGTTTTTTTGGTAAAATATATAACATGTTTTGTAATTGCATTCTGCTGCCGTGGCCATCATTTTCATTAGTGATGCTAACATATTCAGTCGTATATGAGGTTTACTAAGGCTCAAAAGACATGATTGTTTCAATAACTAGGACTCAGTTGTTGTAGAATATATTTTTGATCAATAAATGTCAATACCCTTTTTTAAAAATTAAAGAAAAATTCATTTGGAAGGTGCACAGGCAAGATAAGTTTCAGTCATGCTACCTCTTAATCTTTTGTGTAGTTCAAGTTCAGAATTTAGTTACTGAAAACTTATAAGAGCAGTTTATATTTTCTTTTAGCATATTCAATTCAGAATTAATGTAACTACCATATACAAATATGATGTATCATGTTACAAAGTATTTTAAAATAATCACATACCCAGTTTATGATAATTAGGATTGTCCATGTTATACACACATTAAACTAAATTGATAAATATGGAAAACTTGAGGGTTAAGACAAGTACTGCAAAAATTGTTTAAAAAAATAGGTTTGATTCTGAGCACCACATATAAATAATAAATAAATAAAAGCTCCATTGACAACTAATACTATATTTAAAAGAAAAATAAAGTAGGACAATATCCGGTAAACCAGGTGATCTTGAGCCTGAAGAACTGAGGGTAAGACACACCTATATCATAAGTTATTAAGTTAAACCTGTTTCTTAAAATAACAGAATTCCTAGCTTAAAACTTGGGAGTTTGTACATAGTCCCTCTCTAAAAGATTATTTGTGAGTGATGTTCACATTCTGTAGGGCCAGTGTTAAGGTTCATTTAGGGTCAAGTCATTGATAAGGAGATATAACCCAGAGACATTTAACCACTTAGCCACATCCCCAGGACCCACTCACCGACCCCTGCTTTTATTTATTAACCCAGGTGTAAACTCAAGGAATTGAGAATGAGATAAGAGGCACTGCTGAAGACCTAGTTAGCATGAGCCCAGAGATAGATCTCTATAGATCTGCTCTGTTGGGAATACACATTGCACTTTATGATATTCAAAGCAGAATTTACTCTTACAGTTACTGAATCATTGAGGAACAATATGGAAATAAGAATTTTATTCACTATGGCTTACATGATCTCACACTTAACCAAAGTTCATGAGACCTGCAATATTTGTGAAATAATTTGTGTGGAGTAGGTTCATTTCAACTTCTTGTTTCACTAAAGTTTGAGAATCAGGCCAAATCATCAGAAAGCAATACTATCTGGACTACTTACGTAGTACTTCTTTATCTAATATTAATGTCCTTGACTTCCACAAACAAATAGTACTAGTATATGATGCATCTATTTGAAGGAAATACAAAGTATATTGCAAAAGTCTAATAAATCTGTTATCACTTAAGTTCATTGATGTCAAGATTACTGGATAATTTTGTGCCAGCAGAGTTTCCTCCTCTAACATATATATATATACACTTATTTCCTTCTGACCTTGAGAATACAAGATCTTACCAGTTTCCTTGCTTTAGGTGCCATGAAATGTTGCATTTAGTTTATCTCTCAAATGAAAGAATGAACCCAGCCATTTTCTGCTCGCATAGTCTATGTTCCATTTTTTTGTTGTTGTCATTTACGTTCTTCTCCATACATCTTAACACAGAATTGATCCTCCATCATTAGCAAAATGTCATGTCATTTCTCCTTTAAGAAGTGTATTTGTCACAAAGAATCCACCATTATGTATAAATATAATGTACCAATTAAAAATATGGAAAAAATGTATTTATCTAGAGAACTTATGTTGGAAGTGCTCACATTTGCCATGGTGTATACAGCCTATCCCCTTGCATGCCAAATATATATATATATATATATCTTTTTCTACAATTTATATAGAGTAAAAACTAGAAATCACCATATCAAGGTCTCAAGGACATAAATAGCATACACCCAGTGACAATGGTGAGCCTGCCTTCTCATTGCCATGAGCAAGACTGACATCAAGAGGCACATCAGGCACCTCTTGTTGTCAGTCTTACGTGCGTTTGGAGGAAGGATGTGGAGAAGTGCCAAAAGTTTGCAGCCATTCCTGGAGTATGAATACATCCTCACGAAGCTCTTATAAAGTCTTAGCTGGGGCTGGGGATGTGGCTCAAGTGGTAGTGCGCTCACCTCACATGCTTGTGGCCCGGGTTAGATCCTTAGCACCACATACCAACAAAGATGTTGTGTCCGCCGAGAACTAAAAAATAAATATTAAAAATTCTCTCTCTCTCTCTCTCACTCTCACTCTCACTCTCACTCTCTCTTTAAAAAAAAAATAAAATAAAGTCTTAGCTGGACTCAGAAAACAAAGAGGAGTATTATAATTGACCATTAGAATTTTGGGGTCTAGAAATTCCCTTGAAGCCTTTTAACTCTCAGTATCCTATCTTGCCAAATTAGTCCTATGGAAATTTTATGTTTTCCTTTGAAATGTTGGAGGTAAGTAGAAAATCTGAATCCAGAGCAAAGAAACCAGGGTGTTTTTTGTTTTTTTTTGGGGGGGGGGGTGCATCCTTTATCATAAGCAGTATTATTATAAACCTGTGTACTCTCTGAAATGCACTGTCCTTCCAGAAATACTTTTAGGAAAGGTAATATGTTTATGCTATTAGGAATGCTTTCTGTTAGGGCACATGATGCATCTAAAAAGGGCAAAATGAGCTCATTTAATAATAGAAATAGCCCTAACTATACAAAGCTGTTGTTGCATTGCAAGAATGGAATTACCAACAAAGATGTGATTCCTTGTGCAGCCCTACTGGACAAGATGAGATTCGGGAGTTAAAATTTTATGTCAGCCAAAGAAAGGCCTTCAGTGTTAGGAGTAAAAATTAGTGCTTTGCAATTTCTCTTAATTCTCACCTACCCATGTAGAGCCTCTTAGTTTTTTTTGAATTGCCCTGTTAAGAAACAATTACTTTTATCCTAGTTTTTAAAACCTTGATTGAATATTTGATTTTCTCAAATTATTCCTTTTGACTGTCTTCTTTTGTCCAATAAATCTAACCCTTTTGAAAGTTATTAGTAGAAGCCATTATAATTTCAACTAAATTTATTTCCAGAAATCTTATATACATTTCTTCTTTAATTTTCTTGCCTTGAGATATGTCTGGCTTCCCAAGGCTATTAGAATGAAAATAGCTACTTTTCTGCCAAAACTCAGGATCCTGAGTTTATCTTTTCAGAATACCTCAAAAATGAGTGGGTATTGAACATCCCTGACATTTGCTGCCTCTGCCATTTGAGAGACTGTGGGCCCAAGCACAAAACCACTTCTATTTCCACACATTGTTTCTTCTTTCTAAACATTTGACACATTTACATTCTTGTAATTACTATGGTTATAGCTGAATCAAGATTGTGGAGTGTAATTTTTGTTCATGTCAAAAGTACTATGTTATGGTACCCTATTGGTGGAATGAAGCATTTGGACTTGGATGTTCTCGTTGGGCACCCGCCTTTGATACAATTCGCCAGCTGTGTACTCTATGATTGGCTGGACTTTTGATGTGCAGATACTACAAGTTGGTCACAAACTTGTGTACAATGGGCCTGTTCTGGTTCATGTGAAAATCAACATCCTTTTTTGTGTTCCTGGGTGACAGGATGCTACAATACTATTAGCATTTGCAAAGAGTGTGCTCTGTCCAAGGGTGTAACCACAGATCTTGGGCTGCTCAGTTTGTGTTTCTCTATTATGTGAGAGACACAAAGAAGCTGAAGGCTGGCAAAGGCCTGTCAAATCTTGTAATGTAGCGCTCGACCCCCAAACTCCACTTGGCCTCCAAGCATCTCTTGTTCCCTGTCCCACCCCTTTCCCTGAATGGGCTGTGAGGTAGGTAAATGAATTCAGCGGCCTGGTAGGCGGGGATTCCTTTCTGACCTCATTCCTGTACCATTTGTTTGCAGGCTTGTAGGGGGAGAGAAGGACATTTTGGAACCCTTTGTGTCAAATCATTTTCTTGCAGGTTGGGGAGTTAATGGTAACTTTGTCTGAAGCCAGCCAAGCAGAAAGCCTCCACAGATGAGGCGTGGCATGCTCAACCTCCTTACAGCTACAAGATGAGAATATGGAAATGAGGAACTTTCTAGAGCAGATGGATATGCAGCATGTCTGCATGTTCATCATCTCATAGTGGAAAGCTCAAATCTTCCCATGTATTTAAGCATAAAATAGTTATTTGTTTTAAAAATATTTTCTCCTTTCTGAATCATTGTGGCTTTTATACTGATGTCTGTAGTTTGAGTAATCTTTTATGCAAACCAATTATTTATATATTCTAAAGTAGTTTAAAAGCCTCCCAATATCTGGCTAATTGTATAGAGTATGGTGTGACTAGAAGAGTGATATATACGTTTTTTTGCCCTCGGATTTTCATTGTTTATCTAAAAAAATGAACTACAGCTTTTAAAACAGTGATAGCTCTAATTTTGCAAAAAGAAAAGAGGCCCAGAGAAAATAATAATTTTTTAAGCTAATGTTAGAGCTACAGACTTTTATCCTGATGCCCAGGCATGTTCTGTTCTGTCACATGAAGAATTAGGTACAGGGCCATGATTCAGTGCCTCCACAGCCAGGCATTTTGCAAGATAAATTGGAGTTCTGAGTATTAATGTGAAACCTCTCAATTTTCAAATTTTAGCAGCTAAATTACAGCTTTCTGTTGATCTCTAGCCTCAGTGGATTTTGGTGATGCTGCTGATGAGGCTTTCTTAAAATAACATGACTTCTAGTCCTTCTTTGAGAT